AAAGAAGCAGAAAAACAAAAAGAAGAAGAAACTAAAGAAGAAATTAAGAAAGAAGAAAACAAAGAAGAGCTTTAAATGATTTTCATTGTTAAAAAAAAAGAAAATTAAATAAAATTTTTTTTTTAAATTTGAAAAGAATAAAAAGAGAGAAAAAAGAGTTAATTGAATTAACAAATAAAATAAGAAGAAAATTAAAAGAATAAAAAGAAAACTAAAAATATGAACGTCAAACTAAAAAATCAAAAAGAAGTTCAAAAAGGAACTTGAATTAAAAAATAGTAAAATAGTCTTATGTCAACTGAAGCTGAATTAAAAACTCTTCTTGCTCAAGTCATGAATAGACTTGAAACAGTCACAGCAAGATTAGAAAAATTAGAAGGAAATACTACTAATAGTACTAAATCATCTACAAGTAATTCAACATGTGAATGTGGTGATGTTCCAAAGGCAGTTCAAGCATTCAAAGAACTTATTGAAGAATATCTTAAACCACAAGTTGAAGCTGCACAAGGGTTTGATGAAGTTCTTGGTAAATGTATGAATGACTTCCTTAATGTTGCAGAACAAGTGTCAGGATTAATTGAAATTGCAGCAAAATCACAAAAACCAACACAAGAAGAGTTCCAAAAAATGATTCAACCAATTTCTGAGAAGATGATGGCTGTTGGAGAATATAAAGATAAAAATTTCAAGAGTCCATATATTAATTATCTTAGTGCTATTGGAGAAGCAGTTCCAGTATTTGGATGGATTTGTGTTGAAAAAACACCAGCACCATATGTTGCAGATCTTATTCCAGGATCAGAATTCTATACTAATAAAGTCCTTGTTGCTACTAAAGGAAAAGAACAAAATAAATATGATTGGGCACTTAATTTCATTAAGTTCTTAAAAGAAATGGTTGTTTATATTAAACAATATCATACTACTGGACTTACTTGGAATCCAAAAGGAGGTGTTGCTTCTGCACAAGCTGCTCCTGTTGCACCAAAAGTTGAAACACCAAAAGAAGAACCTAAACCTGTTGTTAAACAACAACAACCAAACCCAGCTGGTTTATTTGCTGAATTAAATAAAGGAACAGCTATTTCTGGAGGACTTAAACATGTTACTGCTGATATGAAAACTAAGAATATGAAACCAGAGGACAAAGTTCCACTTGAACCAAAGAAAGTTACTACTAACACACCAAAACCAACAACAGCTAAACCAGCAGTTCAAAAACCACCAAAGATTGAAAAGAATCTTAATAAATGGGATATTTCATATCATAACGGCAATAAGAATATTGAAATTGATGGTACTTTCCAAGACTCTATTTACATATTCAAATGTGAAAATTCAGCAGTTAAAGTTAATGGAAAGATTAATTGTATTTCAGTTGATGGATGTAAGAAACTTACTTTAATTTGTGATACCATTGTTTCATATGTTGAAGTTATTAATTGTAACTCAATTGATATTAGAGTTATTGAATTAACACCAACTGTCAACATTGATAAATCACAATCAGTTAATGTTCATTTGTCTGAAAAAGCTCTTGATGGTAATACTACTGTTAATACATCAAAATGTGATGCTGTTAACATTTCATTCCCTAATCCAGAGGATAAAGAAGATGAAGTTGAATATCCAATTCCAGAACAAATTTACACTATTGTTAAAGAGAATAAGTTATATCCTCAAATTTATTTCCATGATAAATCATCTTATTACTTCCCAAAATAAGTAATTCAATTTTTTAATCAAATTCTTTTTTTTCTTTTTTATTTATGAAGATAGATTTAAATTCATTTTTTATAAGTGTAAATAAGAAGTAGTTAAGAAGGATTATAACTCGTTTTTTAGTTTTATTGAATTTCTTTACATTCTTTTATTATTATTTGTGTTAAATCATTGTGTTTGTATGTATGAAATATACATTAATAACTATGAAAGTGTTTTGTTCATTTCTTTTTCATTGTTAAACTTATTGTTTTATTTTATTGATAGAATTATTTAATAGTTTAAGCATTATTTATTGAATTAGTTGTTGAGCAATTTTGTTTTATTGATGCATTATATGATTTGTGGTTAGTGTGTTATTTAATCAACTTATTTTCTAATTGAGGATAATAAATAAATTGAAAGAATAAAAATATTATAATAACACTCATATCAATAACTCATTTTAAATTCTCTCTATGTGTTTCAATGGTTTAACTATAACATTATATTACAATACTTACATTTTTTTTAATAATAACATAAATATACGTTTCTTTACAAAAACCTTTATAATAAACAATA